CGGAATACGTTTTTATTAAAATTATTTGTTAAACGTATTCTGGGAATACGTTTTCAGAATAAATTGACTTTAGGGTTTAGGGTTTAGGGTTTACTAAATTGACTTTTATTATACTAAATTGACTTTGAATTCAATTCTACGAATTTAACTTCGATTATACGAAATTGACTTTGATTATATTAAATTGACTTTTTTTTCTCGAAACGATAGGGATTTCATTCAACAAAAGTATTTACAACCCGTGGAACTAAATAGTCCCATGATTGTCTACAAAATACAATGGAGAACCGATCAACTGTCGGCCTACAAACAAAACCTCAAAACAATAATACAGCTTAAAGGGAAGAACCCAGCTAGAAACCTTCAGCTGCAACAGTGACAGAAACATAAAAATAAGACAGTTCAGGCCAAGAAAAATACAAGCTAATTAGTGCACTAACCACTGAACCTAAAGGACTTAGTAGTGACACTTATAGCTAATGGAAAGCAGCACATTTAGCCATCCTGAATTCCATCCATTCCTTCCATGCTACATTAACAACTTCCATCTCAGGCATTAAAGTTTTTTGGAATTTCCATAAATTTCGGGACTTCCAGAGCCACCATAGAATGTAGGTGGACAACTGGAGTCTGTCCTCTGAGATTTGCAGGTTGTTGGTAGAGCATGCATTCCATCACCATTCCTTGAAGTTACAAGAGCTTGTGTTAGGCCCATCCCAGCTAATGGGTGACAGCTTCCATATGCATTTGGCTTTAGAGAAGTCAAGTAGAAGATGTTGTACAGATTCTTCAGCCTCCCCACATAAGCAACAGACTGAGTCCACTTCCATGCCTCTTCTTTTCAAGTTGATCCCAACTGGTAATGTATCAGTGTAGCACTTCCAAAGAAAGTGCCTGAGTTTCCCTTTTACATTTAACTTCCAACTTCTGATCCATACCTTCCTGTTGAGATCTGAGCCTGTGCTGCTTTCAGCCATATCCATTTTCATTAGTTTCTCCTGCATTAAGTGAGAATATGCATTTGCAACAGAAAAATGGCCTTTATGGTCAAAGGACCATAACCACTTATCTCTGGCTGAAGGATCAAGGTTTTTTATGCTCAGAATTTTGGACTTGTCCTGCTCCTCAAAGAACTGCTCTATCACATTCTCTTTCCAGTTCCTGCCACATTCATCTAACAATTCACCCACCCAAACAAGATCACAACCCACTTCTGGCCATCTTTTAGGATAGCCTGAATCATCACCGGTGCCTGGCAGCCAAGGCTCTTGCCAAATTTTGGTGGACCATCCATTTCCAATTTGCTTTTTGAACCCTGATCTGTACTTATCTCTTACTCTCATCCAGTTGCTCCATAGCCAGGAACCATTGTTATTTCTCTGAGCTTGTAGAAGAGAGCAATTTGGAAAGTACTTACCTTTCAGGATTTTGCTGACCAGAAGGTTAGGGTGGGTGATTATTCTCCAAAGCTGTTTCAATATGAGGGCATCATTGAACAAATAGATATCCTGAAAGCCCAATCTTCCTTCTTGTTTTGGTGTAGTGACTTGTTTCCAGGACTTCCAATGCATTCCTTTTGCATGTGACTCACCTTTACTCCACCAGAATTCTGCAAATGCTCTTGAAATTTCTTGACAGACACTTTTTGGGAGAATAAAGCATGACATGATGAAAATGGGAAGAGCATTAATGATGGATTTGATAAGGACTTCTTTCCGTGCTCCTGATAAAAATCTGTTTTTCCAGTTTGATATTCTGCTTCTAACCACATCCACTACATAAGCAAAACATTCTCT